GTGAAGTGAACTTGGTTCACATTCCGGTGGACATTTCTTTTTTTTTCGGGTGAAGTGAACTTGGTTCACATTCCGGCCTCTTCTCTTTTTCTTTTCCTTTTTTCTTTTTTCGGGTGAAGTGAACTTGGTTCACATTCCGGCAAAGCTCCTATCTATTCGTGGGGAGCAGCACGTGCTGAGAACTGGGCCCAGCGTCCCATATTCTCAATCTTTCTACGTGAGGAGCGGCGAGGATGAGGAGGGACGAGGAGATAACGGCGATGGAGGGTGGTGAATGAAGGCACAGCGCAGGAGGAGGGAGGAAAGAAGGGAGGAGAACGTACCAGACGAAAGGAGGAGGGAGAGAAAGGGACGCGTGGAGTTTACTTTGTTGAAATTTGCAGCGTCGGTTTATTTTTTGAACAAAGAGGACAGAACGAGGAACACGGATGAAGAGGAGAAGGGGGGGAAAAGAGGGGAAGAGGAGGAGAAGAGAGCAGGGGAGGGCAACGATGGAAGGAGGAAAGGCGATGGAGTTCGTTTTTTTTAAGGATGGAAGGACGAGCGAGGAAGGCGACGACGATGGATGGATGGAAGGATGAGAGTGAGTGACAAGCATAGATCGATGAACGAGGCTACGTAGGTTGCACACAACAATCTGGAGAAGAGGAGGAGAGGGGAGAGAAGGGAAAGGGAGGAGGAGGAGAGAGCAGGGAAAGGGAGGAGGAGGAGGAGGGAGTAGGCCCACAACTATGAAAGGAGGGGGACCGATAGATGGATTTTTGCTTTTTACTCCCGAGTGACGGATCTATTCTTTCACTCCGAGCGGATCAACCCGGGGGAGAGGGGGGGGGATCTGAAGCGAAGGAGAAAAAAAGGAAAAAAGGGCAAAACGGAACGGAAGAGCGAGGATGGAGGGAGAAGGGGACGAAGATGCAGACAGAAAGACGGGAGGATTATGAGCGACAAGGAGGAACGACCGGATTTTTCGGTCGTTGAAATTTGCAACGTCTTTTTCTTTTCTTTTCTTGTTTTGTTTTGAAGTGAATTTGTTTTTCACAGACATCAGAAGCACCATTTTCTTTTTCTCTTTTTCGGTTTTTGTGGGTCATCCTTAAGAGCGCAGGAACCATGCTAATCTCTCTTTCCCTGTATCGTTCGTTCCAATCCTTTCAACGGATGTCCCGAAGGACGCAACAGGAATTTTTTTCTACGTACTTTGCCACTCTTTCCTTGTGCTTCTTTGCTTTAACGATTGCATCTGATTCAATTCAATCAACCGGTTGTTGTCCTACATATATATCGTCACAAGAATCACAGCCCCTCGTTTCTTGTCCTCTTCTCCCTCTCTGCCTACAGTTTACCGAGCAGCTCTTCAACTCCGTATYTGTTGGTAGTGTTGAAAGCTTTATCTGTCCTACAAGTGAGGTTTGGTTTCCTCCTCCTTTGGCTGCGTGCAAGTGGGTCCTTGTGACACACGGGGATGAGGGCAGCCAGTGCTCAACCATCATCCACGTGGCCGGCCTTGTACGTAAGAGGTGATGAGCAGGCGGAGCTTTCATTCCTTCCTTCTTTCCTTTTTCTGTTTTGTTTTTTTGGCCTTTGCGCTCCGATACACGGTGTGACGATATAAATATCGTCAAACTGAGCTGGCCGTTAAAGCGTAGGCAGAGAGGGAGAAGAGGACAACAAACGAGGCCTTTGCTGTTGTCCTGTATATATATCGTCACAAAAATATCAGAGCGCAAAAGCGAAAAAAAAGGAGAAAAAAATCAATTCATTTTTTTTCTTCTTACTTACAACTCCCCCTGTTCAAAACCTCCTCTCTCTCTATATATATATCGTCACATGAATATCAGAGCGCAAAGGCGAAAAAAACAGAGAGCACAAGAAAAAATAATTCGTTTTTTTTATCTTCTTCCTCACAACTCCCCCTGTTCAGATACACACCTGCAATATTTGGACAACACGTGCGAGGTCTTACTATCACAACAAACACGTCCTGTCCATGGCATGCGACTAAACCAGTCGCGATTACCCTTCTACCTCACTGCTCAGGTAATCTTCACAGCCATTATCATCATATTTATACCCTGCTGCTCCAAATACTTCCTCTCCTCAACCCCTCTCCCTTGCAGATCTCCCCCTCATCATCGCATCTCCGTCGCTGCACTCGATATCAGTAGTCGATGTCGTCGCGGAATTCCTTGTTACGGCGCACATATAACCTCATTACACTTCTCTACTCCGTACAACTCCCCCTGTTCAGAACCTCGTTGCGTACAAGGCCGCCTACGTGGATGTACGTTGTATATATCCTTTGTTCCACACACTAAAAGACGAATGGATACGTGGATTCATGTCATGGCCACGATGTCCGATCCTTGAAGTTTGGAAATGAAAGTTTTCGGAAATGAATCGGCCTATCGATCAATCAGTCTATGAATGCACCCATGCATTAATTAATTTATTTGAGTATGTTGTAATTGATCGACTTGGGCACAATGAATGGTCTCTGCCCAGAAGAAAAAGCCAACACATACCTTTCTCGGCCTTTATGCTAAGGAAGATCAAGTGTAGTATCTGTTCTGATCAGTTCAATATCTGATCCGTGGTCCATCGGGCCACAAATTAAAAAAAAAAAAAAAAAAAAGGCAACACGAAGATCCTCTGTTGCGATCCCTCCTGCTGGACCCCCTGTAGTTTTGCTGTCCTCCGCTTTCCTCCACCCTCCTCCCCTCCTCCTCCTCCTCCCTTTCCCCCTGTGCTCGTGCCCGTCTTGTGCGCCGCTCCGGCGGATCCACTTGTTCTTTGAATAGAAAAAAAAGAATGCAGCAGTGAGCGACTACCAATCATCCATCACCACACACCATGGTCCTAAAAAACTTCCTCCTACGCGTTGCATTCTCTGTGATCTTCTAGATGGGTTATCATAAATGAACAATTTATTCACATACATACGCCTGCATGTCGTGCAGGCCCAGATTCTCTGATAATTGAGAGAAATATATCCTCCTCATGTCCAAACACAGATGCAGTTCATGCTCCACGCTTAGTCTACATGCAGAGAGAGAGAGAGAGAGAGAGAGAGAGAGAGAGAGAGAGAGAGAGAGAGAGATGACTGATTGCACTTGAAAGGCTCATACGCTCTCTGTAACCTGAGCTCCACATCCTCCTCCTCCTCCTCCTCACCATCATCATCATCATCATTATCATTATCATTATCATTATCTCCTTGTATCCCACGGATAGATATAGATACATTGCTGGCCCAGGGCACCGAAGCCACCAACTCTCCCTTGTTTTGGTATGGACAAGCTTGGCAGACAACCACCATCTTTCTTTCCGATTCACGGATCACAATTTCATTACACCAATCAACAGTAGGTGAAGTTGCTCACAAGATTTTACCCAAGAGGCAGAAAAAAAAATAAAAAAAATTGCAAAGAGACGGCTAAAGAAAAAAGGTGGAACGCCAAGAAAAAGTAGCTATCGGATCCTATATCCAGAAAAGACCATATCATTGGTAGGTAGGTGATCCCTCTTAGTCCCTCTGTGCGGCACTATTTAGGCGGGTGTTGATGTCCATTCGCGCGCACTGAGCACTCTCGTGCTTTATTCTCTGAAATTAGCCAAGTCATGGAGAACGAAAAAGGTGCAGTGCAGTGCAATGCAATGCAAGAAGAAAAAACAAAAAAAAATAGCTCTCGGATCCTATATCTAGGGAAGGGGAACCTATCATCATCATCACTAATTAGTGATCCTTGGCCCTCTGTCTGGCACTGTTTAAGCGCCGTGTGTTTCTGGCCATTCTCATCTCAGGCCACTGCGGACCCTTGTTGTTCTTTATCCTCCTTGTGCAGATTCTCTTACCTTCTTCCATCTGTCTCTTGCTTTCCGTATGACAATCGCTCGGTGATGAACTTGGCAAGCCCACAGCTTCTCCCCCTGAATCCTCGTCGCTTTCCTGGAGACAGATCCACACAGTGGAATCAGATGCTGCGGCCCTCATTCTTGCCTCCACAAATTCCACCTCTGGCTCATTTTCAAGCAGCCTCAAGCTTCCCCTGTCGGTGTCGCTGCCTCCGAGTGCCATACTCCCTTCGTCTCCTTCAGCCGTGCAGGCAGGTGATCTGGGTGATCTTGGACCATCCTCCAGACTGGGATTACTGAAATCACACCTTGTGCTATCGTCATCCATCCTCCTACAAGTGATATGATCAGATCTCCCTTTTTTCACCGAATCTGGGTGATCTTGCACCATCCTCCAGACTAGGACAGCCTTTTTTTCACCGAATACCTCACAGTGCTCTTCTTCTTCATGCTCGCCCATCCTGGCGGGGAACCCCACTCTCTCCGCAGAATCACAGCCCTGGCCTGCTACTGCAGCAGCAGCATAATTGTAGTACTCTGAGAAAGAGGTACCCTCTCGGCCATCACCACAACTTGAGAGTGGGTTCTCTCCAGACTGGAGCTGCAATCTGCTCAGCTGAGAAAGCACGTCACCACTCCCATCACTATCTCCCTCCCCTCCCTTGCCATTCACATCATCAGGTTGCGTGCCAACCGGGCCAAAACCCGTTCCCCGGTGCGTGGAACAAGACGCCCTGCTCACAGTCTCTTTTCTCTCTGCCCCCGGGACCACCTGAATGCTGTTATAATCGTCTCCAGCTCCTCCTCTCTCCTGAAAGCCCCTGAGAAAACAGATATTACTGCTTTCATCAAGTTCCAATCCCCTACTTAACATAGCATGTCTGCCGCCCCTAGCGAGGGATGTCCAACGAGGCCTCCTAGGGCCATCACTGTCTCTACACATAGCTCCTCTCTCCTCAAAGCCCCTGCAACAGACATCACTGCTTTCATTACGCTCCAGCCCCCTATTTAATGTTGCATCACCTTCATTGCTCCCAAGGAGGGGTCTCCAGCGAGGAGGCTCAGAGTCATCGCCGCTGTCCGATACATAGATTGGGCTCGTGTACGGTTTCCACGTGGCACCTCTTCTGCTCCTAGGGAGGGTTGTGCAGTTCGGCTCAGAAGCATGGCAGTCCTCCACATCGTCAATGTCCATGTCCCGCAATCTGGAATAATTATTAGTATTAACCCTGATGGATTTTGTTGGCGTCCCTGGACATGTGCTTGGTATAGCATTCGGCACCACAAACGCGCCCTTCCCCGAAATGGGAGACGGCAGTTGTTGTGATGGGTCATCATCTTTGACAGCATAACATAATTCGGGCTTTTCGTGCACATTTGCTGCTGCTGCATAAGATGGTGATGAATCTAGTCTGGACGGACCCGACGACTTCTCTTCCCGATTCTTTCTCAAGCTCAACCTCCTCCTGGAGTACGTCTTCACGACTGCTGCCACTGGTGTAGCGCTTCGCCAAGGTGAGGGACTTGTTGAGATATCAAGCCACGGTACAGCATCTGCTGCTCTTCCACTGTCTTCAATTTGTTGCTCCGACGGCTTTGCATTGCTCGAGACGACAACAAAATCTGAAGTCTCTGTCAAGGTGCTGCTCCCAGGAGTACGCTCCATCCACCCGGAATGACGCCCCTTGTCTGCACTTCTCATAGGTTTCCCCTCCTCACTGAAGACACCAAAATCTGCAGTCTCTGTAAAGGTGCTGCTGCCAGGGGTGCTCTCCATGCTGCCAGGGGTGCTCTCCATGCACCCGGCATCTCCCCCCCCTTCTGCGGTTGTCATAGGTTTTCCCTGCTCTTGCTCGCTCCACAGCACAGCAGCAAAATCTTCTTTGTCAAAAAGCCCTGCATTGAATGATGATCTCTGCTGAACCTTTCCACCCTCTGGCTGCGAGTCTGGCACAACTTCGTCAATCTCTCCTCCTCTTGTTGTCGTTGGCTCCTCCTCCTCTGCAACACTTACTTTGCAAATTGACATTGACAGAGTAATCGCTGGTTCCGACAACTGCGCATCTGCATCACTTTCCGGCTGTGACTTGGTAATATGTGGGACTCCAAATACATCTGCATCTGGCGTCACCTCCTCTAATAAGCCTGACCTTTCCTCCTTTGCACCCCCAGCCTTTTCAACACCATCAGGCGTAAGCATTGCCAAATCTTCCATCATAGAGACAACGGGCTGTCCATTGACGACTGTGCATTCCTGCGGATCTCGCCCCTCTTCCAAGTTCCCCTCCAAACTTCCCTCCACTGTCTTTGGTGCCCCTTCTCTCAACATCACACCAATCGATGAAGCAGCAGCAGCAGCAGCAGCAGCAGAGTAGAAATGCTCCGCGTGGAGACCACACGGATCCCCCTGGCTTTTCTCTCGCTCTTGCCTCCCTTCCTCCCCAGGGCTGCTTACCAGCGTAGCCTTCTGCAGGATGAGTGCAGAAAGAACTCGTCGCTTGGCAGAAGCCTCTGCGGGGTCAAACCAGTCATCACACAACATGCCAGGTCTCTCTCTCCCCACCGAGAGCCAGTTGAAGCTCAGAGGAGCTTGCTGGCAAAACAACTCCACGTAGTGGATTACAAAGAGGCCACAGTCTGTGAAATTGCCCTGCTGTGGGACCTTGGGCTTGTACATCGGGAAGCTCTTGCTGTCGAAAAAGCTTGAGCGAGCTGCTTGATACATCGAGTGCACTGGCTGATCACTTCTGAACCGAACAACATGCTCATCCAGCAAATACCTGCGGATCGGTAAGTCGACATTTGTATGGCTGCCGCTCAGAGAGTCGAGGTGAAGAATGCAGGGCGTCACAGATCGGATGTCATCTCCCCTCGTGGGCTGCTTAACAACATCGCCTGGGTGACAGATGATGACCACACTCCAGTGTGCGCTCTCATTGATCGGGATGACCAGGTAGCTGTAGTCAAATAGGTTGACACGGCGAGTCCATTTCCGCAGAGGATCTGCCAAAGCCTCTGCAAGCAATTGACCCCCGTCGCAGCAGCAGGTGGTGCTCGCTTTCTTCGAATCCCTTAGCTTCCGGAAGAAAAAACTATTAAAGATATAGAACCTGTCTTCTTTCTCATCCCCGAGGAACTGTTGTTCAAGATACTTCATGTAAAAGTCTACCAAGGTGTCATTGATGAATGACATTGGCTTCAACAAGTTGAGGTCATCATCTGTGATACGGACGGCATCTCGTCCGTTGGGTGGAAAAATGAGCGGTCGAATGCGTGGCCAAGACACACCAGGAGGACTGCTGCTCTCCATACCACACCCCGAAGCTGCGTCATCCCCCTGGTTGTCGTCAACAACAAAGTGTGAAGCCGCTTCTGAATCCTGTCTGTTTTTTGCAACTGCTGTCTCATCATCATCATTATCATAGTTGGACCAAGCTGTGATGGTTGAGGAGTACTCTGGTCCTCTTTGTGCACTTGTCGTTCCAGACGATATGCACTCTGATCGGACAACAAGCCTTAGGGTATCTGCCTCACAGAGCTCCTCTTGTCCACCATCACCATATTTTGCCTCCATCCCCCCCATCCTGCACAAGTGCTCTCCTTTGCTAGACGTCTGGTCTTGTTCATGGCGATTTGATGCTGGTTGCCCCTCCTCTGCTTCGGCTTCTGACGCCACGCGTGTCCTCCTTTCACGCAGATCGGCAGCATTGTCCCCCCGGCGCTCTGTGGAGCCATTCCAAGCCAATTTGGACACGCAGGAACCGAGCTGCAGCATTTTTTTGAGCTCCGCAGCACACTTTTCTTCTTCGTTAGCAGCCGCTGTGGGCTGCGCCGACTCAGATGCATCGTCATCATCCGACAACACGACGATGCAGTCCCCTCCCGCACGTGCAAAGCCCTCTTTCACCACTTTCACGGCAGGCTGCGTACCAGTGTCGCCAGAGCAGCACGCCTCATAACAGCTCTTAACAGACTCAGCTCCTGTCAATCCCTTCAAAGCTTCGCTCTCCCGTAGTGTTGCACAATCAACGGCCTCCTCCGACCTCGGTCTCTTCGACGGACCCCCTGGAGGCCCGGTACCCCACCCAACGAACATCTCTCCGCACTCCTCTGCACCTTCCGACTCGTCAACAAAAATCTTATCCTTCAACGGCCGCCCTTCGCGACATCTTCGTACGTTACCACCACTACCACCACTGCTAGCAGCAGCAGGTCTCCTCCCAATGTCCCTGACTCCCAATGCCACACTGTCAGGGGAGCAGCTTCCCAGGGGCTCGATCTCCTTCACATGTCTCACAGCTTGCAGTCTGCTTTTTCGTTCTTCTGGGCCTGCCGGATCATCATAAGCCCTGCAAAAGATTTTTCTAAACCTGCCAAGTTTCGTAGAAACCATCGATATATAGCCTTTCTGGGCCCTACTACCGATAGGCGGACTGCTTTCTCTGTCCTTGCGTACATTCAGAACAACACCCCGCAACCCCTCAACTTTCGCGGCACCCACTCCTCTCTTGGCATCTGACACAGGCCTCGCGCCTTGGCCTTCTGCCTCTCTTTCTCTTCTTTTCTGCTTTCCCTTTGCTCTTCCCCCATGTACCGGTTGCAACGCCTGATCGATTTCCTCCTCCTCCCTGTCAAAATCAAAAACCGAAAGACGCGAAGGGTATGTTCTTCCTTTACACCCTGTCGTTGTTGCCGCTCCAACCACTGTCCCCGAATCCGATGCCCTCGTCGTATCTTTTTCCCATCTGCCTTTTCTCACGTACTCCATCTCATATTAAGACCAACTCCTCGCATCTCCTTTTCCTCCCTCCCTCCCTCTCCACTACCCAATGGATTACAACGGTCCACCCAGACCCATATTCCCTACAATGGAACAGTAGATCGTGCCAATCTACATCTGCACCAACCACAGCTCGCCCCTGCCTCTCTCTCTCTCTCTCTCTCTCTCTCTCTCTCTCTCTCTCTCTCTCTCTCTCTCTCTCTCTCTCTCTCTC